TACATTAGATATCAATATTTCAGCAAATATCTTTGAGACTATATCTTTTCTCAGATCATTCATCATATCATAATTTTTAGTGGTAATAGCTCTCACCTTTGGTTAGTTCCTCAGGCTAAATTCTAGTAGCTGTGTTGTGGGGTCCAAAAGGAAATGCATTTTTAGGACAGCCACCCTGACTTTCAGCCCAATTCTTTTCTTAGAATTTTGCTTATTGATAGTGAAAGCCTTCTCTGGGAGCCAAAGCAGAAGTGAGTGCTAGGTCTTTATGTCACCGAGTCCCTTGCATGGTAGTGTTCCAATCGGTCATACTAAAGGATGTTTCTCTGCTGGCTTCAGCAGCAACCATAAGAGCAGCTCTGGTTATTGTCGTTGTTGTTATTATTACCTTCTGTATTGTTTTCCTGCTCTGAGATCCCGTCCAGCTGGGCTCTCAAGCAGCGGGTGTGCCATTGGCAGGGTGCTCTGCTGTCTTCTCATGGAGCAGAGCACAGAGGTTCTGGAAGTTTCTCTGTCTGAGTGGGTGAGGCCAATTTATGCTTGACCCCTGTGAGCCCCTCGACTGTAGACAATAGGTCTTCTATGCTGTTTGCCGAGTGACACCTGCGAGAGTGTGGTGTTCATTGTTATTCCCTTTCCTTGGCAGGCTTGTCTATTGAGCTTGGCTTCTGCTGACTAAAGTAAGGGAAGCTGACCTAGTTGAGGTGAACAGCTTGAAAGAAAAGTCCTAGTGTTGACATATGGCCTGAGGGCTCCATGTGAACCTGTCAAAATAAATACATATGCATTAATCATCCGAAATCAAAACAAGTCCCAGCATTGAGCACAGTACATGGCACTCTGCACAGGCACTCGGCGAGTGTCTGCTGAGTTAAAATATGGATGGTGGACGAAGGAGGACATTACATTATCCTTTGCCTTCTTTTCCTGAACCTTGAGTGCTATGCACCCAGAATCAGATCTTCATGTTGCCAGAGATCCTTTCACAAGAGAGATGGAGGACTCTGCAAGGTTCATCTGTAAGGGTATACAGACATTTATTTTTCAACTCTTGTACAGTCAAGGACAAAAATGCATGGGTCTAAAAGTGCCTGGAAGTTTATAATAAAGAAGAAGACTGACTTCCCAATCATAAATCAAGTGTAAGCTTATTATAAAAATACTTTCAGACATGTATGGACTCAGAAAACTCACTTCCTAAGCAGATGTTCTTGGGAAGATCACTCACTGATGCACTTCACTAAAAAAGGTGAGGAGGGGAGTAAATCAAGCCATGGAATCCAGGATCCAGGGATCCAGCTCAGAGGAGGGGCTCAGGGCATTTTACAGGATGATGACAAAAGTGAAGACCAGACTAACATCAGGACAGCAGACTTCCAGAGCAGCCAGCATACACTACAGGAAGAAGGCCTGCAGCCTCAAAGAGCAGTACACTGAGAAGAAAGCTGAATTCTTTGATTACATGATGGGTTGTTCTTTGTTGCAAATTTTACATGTGAGAAAATTGGGAAATGCATTAATATTAGGTACACAAAACTAAGCAGAGGAAAAAAATGAGCCAATTGGTTAGTATAGGAAAAAATGTACAGTGAAGGAAATCTAAAGACAATACATAATTTAGTTCATCTAAATAGTGAACACTGTTTCCATATGCATTATCATGTAAGGTGAAAATGAATAACAAAAATTGACATGTTTCCATGTGAGTGAATAGGGGAGGAAAGTGTTACTTTGTAAGAGGGCACAGGAAGAGCCAAAGAAAGGTAATGTACATAGCTAAATCCTGATCCTCTGTTATAGAAAGTCAAGAGAAGCTTCTAAGACTGAAAAACTACGATGTAACAGTCTAATTATGTTACGTAAAGATGGAGAGGTTAATTCCAAAGAAACAGTTTAAAGGTGGAATGTCATTGCTTTTTGGGACAGGAAATTAATGTAGGAAAAACAGAGTAAAGGTTCCTATATTTCGCAATGAGATTTTGACTTTTAAAAACTAGGCACATATATTTTTAATTAAATTAATAAGACTACCAGTGAATGTTCTAGCGAGGAATTGGTGCAAACTTCTTGAGTTTTGATAACTAACTCAGTGTTTGTTTGCTCTTTAAAAAGTAACATCCCCTACATTTGCTTCTGGGATAGTCACTAAGAGAAAAGGGGGTGACTCAGAAAGAGGGATCTTGGACACTTTGGCTTTGTGTTGAGGTTCCTGGTGAAATTGCATTAAAATAAAAGGGTCAGTTGCATAAAAGTTGGAAAGCACAGGCTAGACATCCCTATATATTTTCCAGGGACTAGATTTTTCTCAGGAGCCTAGGAGGTCCATGTGCCAACCTGGGGGCCCCCCCATGAGGTACAAGGTGTCACTCATGCAGGAAAAGGAGTTCACTGTCATCAGTAAGGCCTCCAGCTCTTCTCTCTAGAAGGGAGAAGGGATTCATGACACTATGTGTACTGGGACCAAAAATCTATCTATGACTTTCATAATATGGGAGTGTTGTGTGATGCTAGGAAAGAGATCGAGCTAACAGAAGAAACTATGACCCTGAGCCCATAATCTTAGCCTCAGTGACCCTCTGATCTGCCCAACTGGATCAACCACTGAAGGCACAAGTCCTGGACCACACCCCCTCTACAACACATCCCTTAGCAATAAAGGTGAGCAACCAGCGAGCCCTTGTGTGTGGCCAGCCACTGCTCGAAGCATGTCACTTGGATTAACTCCTTTAATCATCGCAACGCTAAAGTTAGCTACTGTTCCTCACCACATTTTATAGATGAGGAACCCGAGGTGCAGAGTTGGTAAGTAACAGGCCAAGAGTCACACAGGGAGCAAGGGGCGGGGCCAGGATCCGACCCAGAGCTCACAGTGGCCTTCAACAGCTTCCCCTTCCTGCTCTTCTACCACACACACTTTATACTCTTTTTCCTTCAATAAGCCCTGAAGTCCATTCATGGAGACACTCATTGAGCTTTTCTGTGCCCTTTTCATTCTTTCCCTGTCTGGTTTGTTTTCAATTAAATTAGAGTTTCAGCAAACATCAGACTCACTTAAAACCTAAGCCGAGAGCAAGAAATCGTTCACTGACAAAGCATCTGGCACCAGCCAGCCAACCATTTGAAATCAGCAGCAGCAATCAGATACCCGTGTGGTAATAATGTTTGAAGTCTCATATATCCAGCGGCTGACACCTAGTGAAACTGCTCACTCATGCCCCTGCTTGGAGCTGGGCAGAGAGCCGGGGGCTGGGAGCCTGCTGGGAGAATTTGTGAAGCCTATGGCCCCTGTGTACAGCAAAAACCAGAGACTGACCAGTCTTAGGTATCCTGTGCGTAGATCCAGCCAGTGTCTGAGTAAATGACTGGATGATTATGCGCAGCTTGGGGCTTAACAACAGGAGGGTGGCCAGAGATGGGCCAGCCTCCACTCAGTCACTCCTTGAGCCTTAGGAAACCTACTTGAATTTCTCCAGCATGTCAGGCTTGTTCAGTCTGTGCACTTACGTTCCTTCTGCCGGGAAGGCTCTCCCTCTGCCTCCCTCTGTTCACAGGAGTCTCACCTCTAAGTCACCTCTTCGAGAAGCCATCTGACCACCATAACTTACAGGAACTGCACGCTTCCCATGTGCATTTATTTCCCAAATCTTGTTTTAAAGCAAAAAAGTAAGAGGCAAAAGCTCTTATTACTGGCTGAATTTATGTATTTATCTTATTTTTCTTATTTGCTTATTGGATGGCCCCTTCCTTGCCATGAAAGCAGGACCTTTGTCTTGTATAGGTCTCCTTACCCTGAGGACCTAAAGCTGTGTTGATACACTGTAGATCCCCAGTGAGTATTCTCCAATGAATGAATGAATGAGTGAATGATTGACATGCACAGATGAGGCAGGTAGGAGGCAGTCTTGAGCCTGTGTTGTGGGAGGGAGAACGTGGGCCTTCTTTCTCACCAGGGACTTGTCCTTCTCACTGACTTTTGCCAAGCCATCTACTTTCCTGGTTACCCTCTTCCCTCCCTAGCACGGCAGATCTTTCCAGTCTCAGGGAGACAGTGTGAAGCTTTGCTATCCTTTTGGGGGATTGAAGCCAGGATTATGTCAAGGCAGAGGGAAGACGGAGCCCCTCATAGACCTACTGTCAGGGACCGCTTGCTAGAGGCTGTCCTTCAGGGACAGGGCTGCCTCCTGGGGCCCAATCCTGTGCTAGCCTGGCCTGCACATTGGCCCTGGACTCTCACATCAGTGCTCTGTTTCTCATGCTGCTTTCCTCGGAGGTTCCTGGCTTAGACTGAGCAAAGCCAGGTACATCTTGAATGAGGAACGGGAACTGGCTCAACTCTGTCGATGTCCCTCTCTGTCCTCTCATCCCGATCCCCATAGGAGAATACACATCTCTGAGCCAGGGATGACCTTGGCCAGGCTTACAGAGGCCAAGACCCACGGAGGAGAGTCAAGCCCAGCCTCAGTGGGGCTTTCAACCCGATCCTTTTCCCTCTCTCTCCTCCAGCCCCGCCCCAGTGTGGTGCAACCCTGACCTAATGGGTCACCAGACTGGGGGAACCTGAACAGTTGGAGGCCAAAGGAAGCACTTGATGACAAGAGGGTGTGGGAGGTGAGCAAGCAGAGGAGGTGTGGGGGTTTCAGATGGGGACCTGGGGAGAGTGGGGAGGGCAGGGAGGGGCCCTGGGGTGACTTATGTTCAAATAGAGATGGATTTTAGAGTTCAGCTTCATTGTATTTATCACAGTGAAATCTTACGAGAGTGATGTGAATGAGGCCCTGTATGCATTGCTATGCTATTTGGTTTTGATAAAAAGTGGTATTGTACAAGATGTTCCTTGGCCACGTAAAACCTCGCTGCAGAGCTAAGGGTGGCACAGGGCCATACCACAAGTTGTGCAATGCCGTGGCAGGGAAAACAGAGTTGCTTCTCAGGGATTAAGGCTGGTATTTTAATTTGAACTTTAAGAAAGAGATTGAAGGAGCAAGAAAGAAAAAGAGAGAGAGGAGTAAAGAGAAAAATCAGGAAAGAAAGAAAAAGAAAGGTAAGTAGGAAGAGAGGACTTGAGGAAGAGTGAAAGAATAAAGGTAAAAGAAAGAGAATCACGCCATTTAATGGGAGAAAATTTCGCAGAATAGGAACAGGCTGATAGGATCTGACAGAGAAGATCTTTGCTTTTTTTTGGCTACGATTTTACCTTTCTACCTTTGTTCCAAAGTTTTGCTGTATCTATAAGCACACGCTTTTCTGTCCTTCTTATTACTTAAGACTAGGAGCCAGAATGTCTGAGGCGCTTCTTTCAATTTTGTAGTTGCCAGAATGGTTTAGTACTGTTCCTACATTATAGGCAAGGCATAGACTTTTCTCTCCCCGCCTACATCTAAACCTGGAACTCTGTGTGTGTGGCCTTTGAGAGATGTGAGAAGAGGTGAAGACCACTTTCTTTTCACTGCCTTCCTCCTTTTGTGGCTTCTTAGAAATCAGCACTAAACCAGAAACCAGCACTAAACCCTATCCAAGAGCCTTCAGGCAAGTGGTACAGTGGGAAGAGTATGAGGTGGGAATCAGACCTAAAGCCATAAGTGTCACATGGGGTTCTGAGCAGGTGAGGAGGTGGGTTTTGAGAAGGTAAGCACCTAGTGTATTTTAGGCAGCTGGTAGTTCTTAACTTCAATATTGACAGCTCATCATACCCTGCTGGAAAACTGTGGTTCATTTCTTAATCTTGTGCCTCGCAAACGAACTTGTGGCTAGAGAAAATTTTGCTATCCATATTTCTAAGGAAAACTCAAGCAAGACATTGGGGTGGAAACAAAAACCTTTTACCTCCTGTTGTCCCTAAGGACTATGGTTAGATCCGACTGATTGTGTCCCTGGAAAACTCTGCAGAACCAAGACCAAACCCAACATAGGTGACAGATATAACCTGCCATCATGAATGGGTGGCAGTTCAGGGGGACTTGGACTTCTCTTCTTTTGCCACCAAGTGTCCACACTGATGTCCTCCCTTCCTGAGCAGGTCAGTGTTTGCTTGAAGAGTTCCTGTCAAGGACTTCCGGCTCCTCCTCTCACTAGCTCCACCACCCTGTCCCACCTGACCTTAGCTCCCCTCCCAGTAACTGGCATAGCCTTCACCTCAAACATTCATCGTTTCTTTGTGTTGGGAACATCCAAAATTCCCTCTAGTAACTATTTTAAGTTATATAATTAATTGTCATCAACCATAATTATCCTACTGTGATCTGGAAACCCAGAAGCTATTCCTGCAATTCCACCTGTGCCCCCATACCTGCTCCCTTCCTAAGCACCTCCCTCTGGTAAGCCCCTGCTCATCTTCCGTAACTTCTGCCCGACTCAGCTCCTCTGAGCAGCCTCTCCTGACACCTCCCAGGAAACACCCACCTTAGCCACGTTGGCCCCTAACGCTGACTCCTATCTTAACCTCTGTGCTCTTTTCTCAAATCCCTGGAAATCTTTTGACTTAAGAACAATGTCACTAATTTCTGTGTCCCTAGTACCCAGTATTGTGCCTGGCTCATAGAGGGGGTCAGAGATTGCTCCTTAAATGAATGAATGAATGTGTGAATGAATGAAGTGAATATTAGAAGTGAAGAAATTTTCAGAAAAATATCTATCCGGTCACCAAAAAAAATTAAGAGGTAGATTTTAACCTTGTTAGATATTTTACCTTTGTTACATTGGATGTCTCTTCAAGCTGTGTTCTAACAGAGAATCGGCACCTCGCTATGCATTGTGTCAGTACCTGGCATATGACTCTAAATAGGCAGGTTCGAGGCCAGATTTGCTTCCTGAACAAGTGGAACAAAGAGTGAGTTTTTTAAATTATCCATTATAATCATAGGGCAGAGGCAATGAAGAGGATGTAAGGAAAGAAGAAAAAAAGATCCAATGCTGGCCAGATACTCTATTAGGTGCTTTCTAATATTATTTTATTTGTTTTTTACATTATTATTATTCCATTTTACAGAGGAGAAAAATCTGGCCCCCAGAAGTATTAGAGCTGGGCAACAGTGAAAGCTGAACGGAAGCACATTTGCCTCTCCATGCCAGGGGCTGTACAGTTCTAGAAGTCAGATTGTTATGTTTTCTAGATGACCTTGTTCTTTATGAATTTATAGATCAAGAAATGAAAGCACAGACACACAAGAGTATTGTCCTGGGACATCCGGCAGTTGGTGGCAACTTAAGATTCAACCTCAAGTCTTTGAATTCTCCTCAGCGACTGGAAGAATCAGGGAGGGCAGTGATTTAAGCATATGCAGACATAGCCCAAGGCCACTGCACCACAGGTTCTGAGACGAAGGCCTATGTTTTGAGAAAGAAACAACTTCAGAAATTCCCCAAATTTCAGAACTCATGAAACTTTCAGCTGACTCTGGGGAGGGGAAGAGAAAGAAACCTCCATACTTGACGGGCCCATATATTTCTTTACACCCTTAAATAAACATGCATGCATACCAGGAGGATGCTATAGATTAAGCTACCATCTTAATTCATTTCTTGTCTCATTTTACACACGGGTGATATTTGCCGGGTTTTAATGGTGCATTAGAAGATTATATATTTATTCAGATGCACTTAAGATTTCCCTCATGGTCTTCAGCTGACAGATGAATGCCATCACTTAGGCGTTCAGGAGGAAATGTTCACTTCTTTTCATGCAGCCCTCTGAAAAGTCTTGCTGGCTTTCAGAGATGCACGTCAGGGAAAGAGCTGACTTGGAAACAAAAGCAAATTCACAGCAAGGGCTCGCTGTCCTCCAGGTGCTGCTGCTGCAAGCACTTCACAGGCATGATTTCATTGAATGGTGGTAAGAGCCCACAAGCTACTTAATTTTTTATGTCAGTTTTATTGAGGTGTAAGTTAAACATAGTCAGAGTCATATTTTTTAGTTGCACAAGGTGATGAGTTTGGGCAGATAATACAGTTACGTGACTACACCACAGCCAAAGCATGGAATATTTCTATCATTCCAAAAAACACTCTTATGCCCCTGTATAGTCAGTCCTGTTCCCCTACCCTCAGACTGCTGCTGACCTGTTTTGTTTTTTTCTCAGAATGCCTTAAACATACAGTTGGTAGTCTTTCGTCTTTGCTTCTTTCACTTAGCATAATGCTTTTGAAATGTCGGCACACTGTGAATAACTGGCTCTGAATAACCCATGTTATATATGAGGAAGCTAAGTTCCAGGCTGGTTCAGGGAAATGTTCAAGTGTGTAAGTAATGGAGTTGGAACTCCGACCCAGATAGCCCAATTCTTTTGCATGTATGTATTCAGCTCCCTTCCCCTCCAAGTCTGCAGCCAGGGGCCCCGACCCAAGCCTGACCCATGTAAGCCCCAAGGTATTGTGGGAAAGCATGAGTGCCCTTCTGTTGCTTCTTTCTTTTTCCAGTTTGACTCAGAAAATATGTCAGACACAACTACAGCAGAAAAACTTGGTCAAGGAAAAATATCATGTGCTCCTTGGAGAGGAATCGCTGCCTCATGACCTCTAAATTTCTGTGTTCATGGCTCTGGCTGCCACACAGAAAGAACTGAATGTATATTTACTGAATCCTACTTTGGCTACTTGCTAACCAGGTGGCCTTGAGCAAGTAACTTAGCCCCTGGAAGCCAAGGGCTCAAAGGCTGTGTTGAGGATTAAGTGAAATAATACATATAAAGCACAGTGCTGACAAACTGGTAGTGAATCCACAAGTATTATTCTTTATTAGTTTTTGGGTCACGTTTATCACTAAAATTAAATTGAAATTCAGATGATACCATAATCTGAAATGCAAACTGAGCTAAGAGAACATAGGGTTTAATAAATTCATTCCGCAAACATTTATCGACTGTTTACCATCCATTGGACTAGGTCTTATCACTAGACAGACTCATCCTAATGAGGGAGAGGATTATGCTGCTATCTTGAATTATTCCTGCCCACAAAAGGCCTCTGGAATATTTTGCCAAACATGTAGGATCAGTGATGAAGATAGTAACTACCAATATTTATTGAGTTTTTTCTAGGTGCTGACTGCTGTGCAGAGAGAGCCTTATTCATATGTTAGTTTAATCCTCGTAACCTTCCGAGGCTCCAGAGCTCCTTTTCCCAAAAGGGTAACATGAGGCTCAGAGCACTGAGTGACTTTGCAGGTAAATGTCTGAGCTGGTGTTTGGAACCAAAGCCAAGAATTTACAGCCAAAAACAAAGACCCTATGCTAGAGAGGTGGAAAAATACACAAGCACTGCAAGTGTTGAGATCACCAGCATCAACTCAGTTTACCTGCCTGAAGCTCCTGCTGGTGCAGAGAGCTGGAGGATCTGAGTTTGCAGAAGGTACAGGATTGCAGAACTTCCTATGGGTCAATGGAGGCTGTGTGGAGGGCAGGTGCTATTTTATAAGAGTGAGAGAGGTGAAATATCACTGAAGCTTGGAAATCTTCAATGCAGAAACTGCAGCAAAAGCTTATGGTTATATAAATACAGTGGTCAGTACTATGGTAATGACAATGTGCTATTTTTCAAAAGAAAGCTCATCCAGAATTCTTTTATAGGGAGAAGGACTCTCTTTTTCCAGAGGAAGAGCAAAAGAGAATCCTGAAATCTTCCAATGACACTCTCATTCCCTCTGTACATGAAAATCTCCTTTTCATTTTATTTGCTTATTTCATACATCAGTTTCCCAAACTTTCCCAGCTAAAAACACCCTTCATCTCTCAGCAAGCTTTTACAGTGTTCTAAGCCAAAGGAAACATTTCACAGTTGAGTTACTAAGTAGTGAGGTCCATTCAATTGAATAACAACTTAGTAGCTGCTAGAGAAAATAATTCTCCCACATTGGAAGAAAATGTTTTAGTCCTCAAATAACTACAATTACTCATCAGATGTGTATGCTTTTGGCCACACACAACTTCTCAAATCTTAGAGTCCGGCAGAGTTGCTCTGTTGTGTGATGATTTTTTTTCAAGACTGAGAGTATGATAGCAGCTGTGCACCTCTGCACGCAGGGGAAAGAGCAGAAATAAGAAAAACTGTCCTACTTTATATCTGAGAGGCAAGTGGCTGCGGCCATGGACATAGCACTGCCATTGCATCCAGGTAGTCAAGATGAGTCTCTTGGGCCTTTCTTGTTATTTGCAAGATGACTGCTACCCTCAAATTCAGGAAGGGTCACACCAAACAGGAAGAAAGGAGGAGAAGGCGGTGCTGACTTCATCTGATTCCATTAGTAAGAAAGCTGAAGCTGTTGAAGAGACAGCTCCTCACTTCAGAAGCTCTTGTTATACCTCAGAGGTCAGACATGGTGTTACATGCTTATCACTGGCTGCAAAGAGGAAGTAGGCATTTAGCTGTGTACACAGAACTTCAAGTCAGGCCTCAGGAGCAAGAAAGGAAAGGGGTGGATATTGGGTAAACAAACAGTGTCTACTAGAGAGTCACATTTATTCATACCAAGATTAATAGGATGAGACTTAATTCCTGCTCTCAATTACTTTAAATCTAGCTTGGAGACAAATATGACCTTCTCTGAACAACATCTACTGTGCAATAGGATAAGAAAGCATATATTGTTGTAGTTTGCCTCAGAGGGCCAGAGAAAGTTGTAGGAAGGAAATGATCACGCTTTTTTAAAGGCCTTTGAGCAGAGCAACAGTAAGCATGGAGATCAGAGCAGATGTAAAGGACAAGGTGTCACACAGTTTAAGTAGCACACGGCCAACCGAGTGTGTGGAGTACAGGCTGGATAGAATGGGGACAACAGAAAATGCAACAGAAGACGTCATGGAGGTGACTGGGTCTCCACATGTCCACCAGTTCTGGGGACAAACACAGGAAGAGCAGTGGATAACTCCAACTTTTCTTTCTTTTTCCTGGAGCTCTGCATCTCTCCCTTTGGAAAATACTCTTCTACTCTACAAGATTGTCAGTCACACAGCCTGAGTTTCCATGTTCTGAGTGTGGGCCCCTGACCTTGGCAGAACCAATCAAAGTCTTTCCCAGGAATTGATCTGGATGCTGAAAAAAGACTCTACTTTCAGGAATACATGAACTGGGAGCTACTAGTAGTTGTTTCCCTCCTTTGGAGAAAGATGGCTTGGAAAATGGGAAGAAGGTGAAGGACTGATGAAACACTGCTAATATTCTGAATTCACTTTACCCAAACCCATGTTTTCCACACAGTTGTTTAAGCCGGTTACTTCTGCAATTTTAGTTCAGAAAGTTTGAGTTTGGTTCCTATCACTTGCAGATGGAAGGTTCTTGGCAGAGGATTTAGAGCTTGGAAGTAGGAAGACTCATAAATAGCTCTCAAAGCATTTCCTTCTACCTGGCTACCGGCTGAACCTTCACCTACCTGCACAACACCGGCTGCTGGGGAGAGAAGAAAAACAACCTTTCAGCTGTTCCCACCTCAGTCTCCATGTACAGTCAGAGAGGCACTGGGTTTTGTCCAGCTGGCTGGATGGCACCCACTTCCTGTCCTGTGAATGTCGGCTGCTTTCCCAGGTTGTTATCTGACTCCACTATCAGCCGGCAGACTTCTAGGAAGAGGGATGTTCCACAAGAGCAAATGCATGTGGCCAGAGCTGATGGAAACTCTAGCAGCCACATGCACAACACAGCCCAGTAGATTATTCATGACCTCTGGTATTCGGAAGTCTGGCAGGAGCAATGTCGTCTAGATAACCAGCATTTCTGAGCTGGTAATTTAAGCCCTCAGAGGCTAGAGGGCTGACTTTGCTACTGAAGGGCTTCTCCTCTGCAGATTTTATTCTTTTTACACTGTAATCTGGCCACTCACCAGCTGTGTGAAGTTGGGAATATTATTTCACCTCTCTGAGTCTCCATACCTTCAGTGTTAAATAAGCCTGATTATAAATATGTATTGGGAGCTTGCTATGTACAAGGAAGGCTAAATGCTGCTTCAGAATCACCTTCCTCTCAGAAGAGGTAACTGTGGGGAACTTGATAACAGAGCAAGCAGCACTCTTAGACTTCAATTGGGGTTTGTCATTGTTATCTATGGTGCCATAGGGACCATTAACTTCCATTCAGTCTTTTAATGGACAAGGAAACTGCCACCCAGAAGCAACAAATTACTTACCTAAAAATCATACGACATAATCAGTAGTAGAGCAAAATTTAGAACATCTATCTTATTCAAATTTAAGTAATATGGACAGAAGCAACAAGCATGTACAGTACCTAGAAATTATTTGACCTAGAATACACTTGATTTTATATGGGCAACTTTAACTTCTAATGAAAAAGCATAAAAGTGATCTGATTAAGGAGAGATAGTGCATGCTCATGAACAGGAAACTTCACATCACAGTGGTAATAATTATTCCTATGATTATCCATACGTGAAAAGTAGTCAGATCCTAGATGGGCTTTTTGAAGAATTTGAAAAATATATCCTAGAATGTCCTTGGGGGAAGAAAGAGCCATAGGTAGCTAAATTCGCTTTAGGAAGGAAAAAGAGGAGAGAACTGCG